TAAGATTGAGTTGGATGGGGAATGCTGGTGGGTGGCCTTTGCTCCTCGACGAAGTAAGTAAGTAAGTAAGGAAGGAAGGAATTTCACATTGTTATTAACACTTTTCTAAGAGAAGATGGTTATTATTTGATTTCAAAGAGATAGACAAACATTCAGTCATTTCTAAATAGTCACGGCATATTATTCTCAAACTGAATAGCAATTGAATGCAATGTAAATAACTACTCGATAACTATCAATATAACACGAATGAATACGAATAAAAACCACTAAACATATTTGCTTATCTTCAGAAGTGGGTTTGTAGTGATTTTAGTAAATTTATATTTGAGACCGATAGGTCCTGGGTTCGAATCTCACGAGGCGGGATCGTGGATGTGCAATGTTTCACAATAAGATGGCCATACATTGCTTTCAGATTTTTCATGTTAGTCTAGCTTCAATCGATTCATGATCTCAAATATATAAAATTAATAAAATCTCCACAAAACCCCCTTTTGAAAAGAAACAATTAATAATTATAATAGACCTGGTAGAACTCCACTGGCAACTGCTTCCCACTAGAACTCAAGGAAATATCTCTTGAAGTCAGTCACTAGTGAGCATATGATTATAGATCAGAGGAGGTTTTGTGGAGAATTTAGTATTTTCAAAGTTGAAATCATCAGTCAATTGAAGCTAGACCACCATCGAAAACCTGGAAGCACTGGACGGCCGTTCAGGGCTTCGGCTCGAGACTGATAGATCCTGGGTTCGAATCTCGCGGGTGCGGGATCTCAATTGTGAAAATACTAAATTCTCTACAAAACCCCCTCCGAATTATAATAGAATTAATGCAATTTCTATTAACTCTTTATACATCCATGTAATAGTATTCTAGTTCAGCTTTATTCTGTTTAAAATAAAACAAACTCAATCAAGGTCAACAATATTATAATGAACAAAATATGAATTTTAGCGTAACCAAACTGAGCTCGAAAATCAGTAAAATTCATACTATTATTACTATCATTATCATCATCAGTACTAACAATAATAATATTAATAATAATAGTAATAATAATAATAGTAATAATAACAATAGTACATAAGGAAAGGGTATTGACAATACAAAAATAATCAGAAAGTAACTTTGTTAATATAGCTTTCATGTTCACTAATATTTTATTACACTGTTGTTTATTGTAATCTTAGTTACAGTAGTAATGAACGTGTATTGACTGAAAATTAAAGATTAGAATTTGGAAATGTACTTTTAGTGATTATAATAGTAAAGATTCTGATTAACTGTTGAATTGAATAGAATGAACTAATTGAGTTTACCGATTTATTTATTTGAACATATATATAATAGTACAAAAGGGAACCGAATACATATGAGCCAGGAAAGACACTTGATTTGTGATTGTGTGAGCTGTAATGCTGCCTGAGTGCACGAACCGAACCTAGTGGTTTTCGACGTAAAGGTACGATCCACAAGGCGGTGAAGCAACGTTAGGAGATGCAGTTCCATGGTAGCCAGTGATCAACAATAAGTTCATATGTCGCTTGTTCCCTTAGGATTCTGAAGCTCATATGCATCATTGGTTTGGAAATATGGTTTTCCAACTTCTCTACGTAAACTATGTGTCCACCAACCCGGTTAAAGACTCGGACATTTGTCCGCTCAATTTCGTAACCAAAAGTAATGCCACGAGAAGGCAGTGAGTAGGACTTCCTTGACATTGGCTGCATACACGTATTCATGTGAGAGGATTTGAAGGGGGAGAGCTGATTCTCTCCACTTTCGTCCGTACCAGGGTATTTAGGGGTTCACCAGTATATTCATTATATTTAAAATAAATACTTTGTTCTTAAGGTTCAATATGTTCAATGCTTGATTCATTATTTCAATTCGAAAATACGATTTAGATTTTACATATTTATAATTGAAAAATTATTATTAATTTATTGGTTTGATTTCTAGTAAACAGGTAGATTTAAACTGTTAACCGATGTGTAGGATATACATTTATGCGATGTAATTAGTCATCTATTTTAGCCGACAGTAATCAATGTATTTAAATGTAAAATATTGTCGTACTGTGTGAAAATCTAATTCTGGTATTCAAGTGAACAGGTTTATGTTTTCTATAATTAAGACCACGAGTCAATTGAAGCTAGACCACTGTAGAAAACCTGGAATCACTGGACGGCCATTTCATCCTATTGTGGGACTCCTTAGCAGTGCGCATTCACTATCCCGCCTCGTGAGATTCGAACCCAGGACTTACGAGTCTCGCACCAGAGTACTTAACCTTTAGACCACTTAGCCAGCATCCAGCGGTGTTAATGTCTAACCTCAACCAATCCACGAAATTGCGCGACCAACTCCCATTGCACTGAGGTAGATACCTGTCTCTACCTGACATGGATTAGCTCCACCAGCCACGACAGATTTATGGTTCATTCAACTGGATTTGCAATTATTAAATTAACAATAATGTTGTTATCAGTATAGGGTTGTGGAGACTGTTGAGTTTTGATTGAGATCAATCAATATTAGAACATCATTGAAAACCTGGAAGCACTGGAAGGCCGTTTCGTTCTAGTATGAAACTCCTCAATAGTTTTCATCCACGATAATACATCCGTAGTTGAACCCAGGGTTTCCTGTCTCAAGTGTGAACGCTTCACATCTATACCACTAGGCAGGCATCCAACAGTGTTAATGTAAAACTTCAAGGAATACACGATATTGCGTCACTACCCTTTATTTTCTAACATTGATTAGTTCATGATCTCAATCAAAACTCAACAATCTCCACAACCTTGTACTGTATCATGTACTCACAAATGACTAGCTTCAAAATGTAATTATTAGAGTTGTAGTGAGAAGCTGTGACTAGTGGAGCAAATCCCTGTGTTTTGTGAGGTAATAACTCACCGAAGACATTGTAAGGTGGTCGAGCGATTTCGTGGATTGGTTGAGCTCAGACATTAACACTGTTTGATGCCGGCCAAGTGGTCTAGATGTTAATCGTCCACACGCGAAATAGAAAATCCTGGGTTCAACTTTGGATGTGATATCATGGATAAGCACTACTGAGGAGTTCCATACTAGGATGAAAGGGCTGTCTAGTATTTTTAAGTTTTAAACGGTGTTCTAATATTGATTGATTTATGATCTCAATCAAAATAGTGTCGTCAATATATAAGTTATTGTAAAACTTAGTGAGATTAAGAAATTTAATTGTCCTGAATTTGTTCTGAGTCTATGAACAACCAAAGTGAGGATATATTTAAACTTATCTCTATTTAAAATAAAATGTAAATTGAAATCAAAAAGTCAATTTCAGAAGCATTATTAACTTATGTAGATAGATTCAGTTTAAAATTAAACTAAGTCTTATAAAATTATTTATCTATATGGTCCCAAACCATTAACGAAATGACAAATTTACAGGTCAGTAAATTATATGCTCATGTGACAAATTCCTTCTGGATTATTTGGTATGTATTTTAGAATACGAAGCAACATACTGATTACTAAATATGGCTAAATGAGGATAAAGCATAATGCGGTTAAATTTATTACTAGTGTGTTAATAATTCAGTGAAACATCAGGAAACGTATTTGTTGTAAACTTGTTGGGGATGCTTTGAACATAAATTGATTTCGATATATGTTCTACTTCTTTATTTTCACAAATAACTGGCAGTCGATTCTGCGTAATGTCGTGGTTTGGTTAGTGTTAAACATTAACACCGATGAGTACTTTATAGATGGTCTGGAGGTTAATAGTTCGTGCGCAAGGTCATAGAGGCACACTTCTAAGGAGTCCCATACTAGGAGGAAACGGCTGTTCATTGTTCTCAGGTTTTCAATGGTGGTCTAATATAGATCGGTTCATGATTTCCATAAAATGAAATTTTCGAAAAGGGTGGCAAAGCCTCCAGATGCTCTAAAGATATCGAAGAGATTCCGTCCAATCAGAACCTGATAGAACCTTCTAGAATATTGACGTGACATGTTATGATCAGACAAGTGTATAAATTTACTGCTTGCTGATTGGCTGAATTATAAAAATGTTATAGCCAATAATAAAAACCATAAATACCCTTGTTTTACCGTACACTTTTGATCATTACCCAATAATAACTTCCCTTGCTTTTTCCGTCTTTCGATTTGCGAATGTTGGATTCTACATATTCGAGTGCCAATAGTTGCATATTGTATTCTGTCACAATCAAGTAGAGGACATAACAGCAACAATCTCTACTATTTCATGCTGTAATAATATTACCGAATTAATAGTCACATAATGGTTTTAATAATCCTGTATTTCTCAGACATTATTCAGCAGATTTTTTAATGGAATCACTGAAGTTCATCGTTAGAAATGTATTTATTATGTTGAGATTTAAGGTGGTGGTTGGATGTAGATTACAGGTAACCGGATAGTTGAGTAGTAATATCTTTGACTGTAAAGCTGAGAGACACGGAGTTGAATCCACGAGGGAGCATCAGGTTTCTTTAGATTACATGTACACTTTGCTGACGAGTACACGTAAACCAGGTTCAGGATTTCTTATCCACTACTTCGAGCAAACTCCTTACATCTCAATACAATACACGCGATGTCGAGTCACTTGGAAACTAGTCGTCGCATCACAATTTGGGCGATAGAGTTCTATCAGCACTATGAAGAATCTGAAATTGGATACTACTTCACGATCAATCAATTGTCAGGTAAACAATCAACGAAAACTTTTCTACATTAATTATTGTTTAGGTATAGCAAACAATAATAATCTCAGTTGCATCGAGATTTAAACTATAGAAATTGTGATAACCTATCTATCCAAATAATAATTTACCGTATTCGATATAGGATACAAATATTAACTTTAATTTACTAAGTGATTATCGTATTCCATTGTCACAGGTATCCAGTAATTTTTACTACACAACACTAGTAAATCAATTAAATCTTCTAACTTTTTTCACAACCTTCAAATTATTCGGTAAATTTTTCATCATCATCATCATCATCATCATCATCATCATCATCATCATCATCATCATCATCATCATCATCATCATCATCATCATCATCATCATCATCATCATCATCATCATCATCATCATCATCATCATCATCATCATCATCATCATCATCATCATCATCATCATCATCATCATCATCATCATCATCATCATCATCATCATCATCATCATCATCATCATCATCATCATCATCATCATCATCATCATCATCATCATCATCATCATCATCATCATCATCATCATCATCATCATCATCATCATCATCATCATCATCATCATCATCATCATCATCATCATCATCATCATCATCATCATCATCATCATCATCATCATCATCATCATCATCATCATCATCATCATCATCATCATCATCATCATCATCATCATCATCATCATCATCATCATCACAACTATGGATGGTAATATGTAAACAAGAGAAGAAATGCTCGCTATTACAACCCCGTTTAACAATGTCATAGTATCAATAACAATAATGGTATTAATGGAAGGGTTTAATATTTTCTAAACAAAAAAATAACATACAGCAGTAAACAAAATGATGTGAAGAAATAGAAAAGTAAAACAACAACAACAACAGTAGTAATAATGATAGAAAAAATGCTGAACAAAAGAGGATATATCAAAAAGTTCGTTCATTTCTTTTTTATATTTCATTTCGAATATATTGAATGATTGATGAAAAAAAAGAGAAACAAAAACTCATGAAGAAATGTAGCCATGTGAAAAAGAGTATGATGTCGGTGAGGATAATGATGCTGTCGTTGTTATTGTTGTTGTCGTCATCATCACCAAGATATGAGTTTAGATTATAAACAAATAAAAGGCGAGAAAAAAGCAAGACATTATGCTGGTATGAATACTAAAGGAAGAACTTCTGTTCACATGATGGAATAAAATTAGGATATTAAGTTTATTTAGTACTTAAATAACACACACACACGCACGCACGGATTTACGTACGTACGAACGCATGTCCCCACATAAATACTCACGCACACACACACAAAATACAAAATTAGACATAAACAATGGGCATGTTGATCATCTCTTAGTATAAAATAAAGAAAATTAAAAGTAAACAAATCTTCATTTAAATAAGTAATACAATGAATAGAATATTGACATAAATCAATATTATTTATTGTCATGGTAATTAAATAATAATGAAATATAATTAAGATTATTGTTTTCTTTCTTTCTAGTCATATTAGAGAGTGCAATAGCACCGGTGAAATAATATTGGAAGAGGTTAAATGAAAAAAAAAGAAGAAAAAAACTGCACAAAGATAACAACACATAATGAATTAATGATGTAGTAACTTGAATAAAGACACATTACTCTTTTTATATTAATGTAAGAGTAAAAGTATTCTACACATATGAAATTATCTCAACGATTGAAATTTAAATAACTCCAATGTTTCGTCCATCTAACTTGTCTGAAATTCTTCAAGGTGATAATCAAAATCATCAATCATATATTTCTTTGATGATTTTGATTATCCCCCCTGAAGAAGCCCAAACAAGTTAGATAGACAAAACATCAGAATTATTGAAATTTCAGTCGTCGAAATTGTTTGTCAAATATAATTATTCACATATATAATGACTTCTGTTTACTTGGCGCCCAATTTTATTTGAAGCCATTCGCTTTAATCTTGACGAATATTCGTATGAAGTGATTTAACAATATGGAATATGAAATACTTTCTAATAACAATAATAATAACAACAACATAAATAAACAACTTGAAACAAACAAATTACTTACATAATGAAAGAATGAATGTAGAGAGAAAATATTCATATAAATATATATATCTAGGTATATATCACAATAATGACAATGCAATGCCTTCTCTTTCCACCTTTGTATACATAATCACCATTATGTTTCTTTACTGCAATATTCATATATACATGATCCTTTTTCTTCTTAGATGATAAATACAAGTTCCTTTAAGATCATGATAATAAGTATGTTCAATGTATTCAATTCAGATATAATATTGAATATTATTATCATCTTAGTTTTAATATAAAGGAGTTGGTTGTAAATCCCATGAAATTTCATCAAATGATGAATCATGACGATCTGTAAGTAATTGACTTTCTGATTTTTGTCTTGTTAAATGATATTTAAATGAATCCGATAATGTACTACTCATCATCATTAATTTCATCATATTATTTGATGTAAAATTTGTACGGGATAATGGAATACCAGAATGGTGATGATGATGATGTTGATGTTGAGGATGATCATCATTAGGTAAATGTGAAGAAGTAAATGACTGTGTAAATGTTGATTTATTTATTATTGGTTCTTCACAAAATGAAAAAAATATATCTGGATCACTTGGTGAACGAAAAATAGTTTGACTACGATTAGTATTATTGAATTTATTCATAGTTGGATAGGATAATTTTCGATTTATATCTGTAAAATGTATAGTGAAAAATTAGGTCGTTAATTTATTGACAGTTTGTATCTCTTTCCACTTACTTTTAACAACCAACGAATAAAATAAAATGGAAATTACTTGGGATTAAATTTCATTATTCCCGCACTATATTATGTGATCGGACATTTTTCATTCCCATTATACCATGTTATTGAAATGATCGGATCGTATAGTTCATGTCGTGGATTGATCTCAGCATGATGATCAATGAAAACTGTGAAGCGTTGGACAGCTTTTTATTCCTGATTTTCAAGTTTACAGCAGTGTACACTAACGATCTCAGTTAGTGCCTATTCTTTGACCATTGTGTCATTAAAGTGCCCGTCGAAAAACCTGAATGCCTAAAGTTTATATTCTTGTTGTTTCGCGGGTTTTGACTGTTAAAGAGTTCTATACTATGCTAAAACAACTTTTCAGTGATTCTTGGTTCTTAATTGTTGTCCAACTAAAATCAGACCATGATGTAAATCATGATAATCATATACCAGATTTATCGAAATTGTAGTATAGAATTTGGTGACTAATTTACAATCTTAAAAATAATTCCAGGTCATTTTACGCACACACAAAAGACTGGTCTAAATACGCTTAATGTATAAACATTGATTGATTCATTTTCTATGAAACTATCTATGATTTTTAATAAGAGGGCAAATAAATAAATTATGAGTGGGTAAAATACGAAGTTAGACATTAAAGTAAGAAATTAACACCGTTGAATGCCGGCCAGCTCAGTGGTCTATCGGTTAAGTGCTCTGGCGCGAGACTGGTAAATACTGCGTTCGAATCTCGCGAGGCGGGATCGTCGATGCTCACTGCTGAGGAGACCCATAATAGGACGAAATGGCCGTCCAGTGCTTCCAGGTTTTCCATGGTGGTCTAGCTTCAATTGACTAACACTTTCAACTATGAAAAATCTCCACAAAACCCCTTCAGATCTAAAATACGAAAAATCTATAGAGCTTTCATCCAACCCACGATGTCATCAAGAAATATGTAAATAAAAATAATTAGTAGTTAGATAATTTCAAACTATTTTCAAGTAACATGTCATCATATAGTTTAGAAAATTTTATTTCATACCATCGATAGATTCTCATTGTTTAGACAAATAATAGCATTCTTAATGTCTTTAGCCAATGTTGGATTAATGTGGTTGATTTTGCAAACTAGATCTTATCTATCATACATCTGATACTATCGTATTGTACTGTCTTTAAAAATCTCCACCTTCTATTCTATTCCGTTTGTAATTGAGTCATAATCCAAACGGTGTCATTGAAAAAACGTATTCCTTAATGCTTTTAGATCACTGAGTAGTGACTCATTAAGAATACATGTCCTACAGGAAGTAAGTCCAGCGTTAAGAAGCTCAGTGGCAAATTTTCAGGCTATAAAACTAGATGATGTGAACTCGAATCCACAAAGTATCAGCAGTTCTCTCAAGGCTACATGCTTTGTTGTGACGAGTGGAAAGTAACACGACATCTAGGTCCAACAGGGTTTCCTTTGTAATACCTCTATCTATCCAACCTCTAAACAAAGTGTACTCACCATTGAGTCACGTAAACTAGTAGTCATATTGCGACTTGATCAATAGAATTAGGTCAGCACCGGGAAACTAGACAAATATGACATCATTAAATTGCGAACTGATTTTAGCTAGACTACAAATACAATCATAGGAACATTAGATGGTCTATTCTTCTTAGTATGGGGCTCTTCAACAGCGTAGATACACTAACCTGTATCCAGTCAATAAAATGTCATTCATAACCATTTATTTATAACACATATAACAAACGTTTATCATGTCATTAAATACATAAATAAGCTTACAAATACTTATTTAGTGATATAACTCCTGGTCATTTAGAATTGAGAACGAACAAATCAATTTCAACACTTTTATCTACATGTCATTCTCCATTCGGTTAAATAAAAAACTTTGATAATCACTACTTTTTGTCAAAGAAAACAGAATTATTTACAAGTTAAAAAAGATTTTCCTAGACTGATTATGTTTAGCTCAAAATTATAGTGTCTTCATAAATTATGAAAACCATACACTCTATACTTCGTTTATACATCTTCTATCAAATATCTTTTACGAACTTCATCATTCCTTCATTCCCGTTATTATTACAATTACTCTCTGTTTACATTTTTGTTCTATTCAGTTTGATCTTCACAACCTTTTGTTGTAAGGCATTTCACTTTTGATTTGTGTTATATACTACTTATGTTGACAGACATAAGTAGCATACACCATAATAGTATTCTTTCTTGTGTTAACACCTACCTACCTACCGATTAGCATTATATAGCATATAAATATATACAAGAAAGCAAACAGACTACTTATAAAGCAATATTTCTTTTTATGAGATATTATTCATCAATAAAACTATACCTAAAGTAAATGATATAATGAAAAGACTGAAATATATTATCAATACAATGTAATATGTTGTAAATTTATGTGATTACTATTATAGGAGTGTGTAGCAAGGACATGTGTGGTTGTGATTAAGTACTTAAATTGAAATGATTACTAAATGCAAAAGAAATGATTATATTATTTTCAAAGGATACTATTTCAATCTTATTGTTCTGTAGTGGATTGGAACAAGGGAGGGGAAAATTGAATGTATCTAAGAACGAATTACAAACTATCTCACTTATATCTGATAACCATACAGTAAACAATTAGTTTGCGAAATAACAATCCATTGTCTCAATCTTGACTGTTTCTTCTGTAAATATCAGTCTATCGTCCCTAATTTTATGGTTTATGCATTTTCATACTAATTGCGCTTCATTCCTGTTCTTTCCTTATCGATCTTCTGCCAAAAATACATTCTACGCTTGACCATCATCATATACTACTTATGTGGATATAAGTAGCCCATACCACAGTTCAACATTTATTAATTTATCTAATTATTCAATCACTTAGTAGTTAAACAATTTTTTCTATTATCAATGTCATTTAATTTGTAGAGTTTAGTAATATGTCACTTAAATTTAAAAGTATTTATATATTGACGACATTGGTGAAATATGTATGATTGTCATGTATTGAATGTTACGTTTATTCACAAATTGGCATTGACAATTACTATAGAAATGACATTATTGACAAGAATTACACGTAATATGCTGTGAGATGATGTGTGATACAAATATCTAATATTCATCAGTTTAATTAATTGGTGTTAGAGATTAACATTGTTGGATTCAGTGGTCTAGAGAATAAGATTTTCTATGTAAAACCTAAGGTTCTCGGTACAGCTAATGTATGCGCGGTCATAAATGTGAACTTCTGAGAAGTTCCATACTAGGATGAAAGGGCCATTCAGTGCTTCCAGATTTTCAGTGGTAGTCTAACAAAGATAGGTTCATGATTTCAATATCAGTCAGTCAGTCACAACATAGGAGCAGGCACATTTATGCATCGGTCCAAGTTGCCATACCTCGTTAGCATAACAAGATCAACACCGAATTCATAGAAGTAGTTAATTTAGTGGTGGTAATATATAAAAGAAAGGTTGTATAGAAGGATATAGTAAAGGAAGAAAGACAGATATGAAGCAATTTTAGTCTCAAGGTTTAATTGAAGATAAAGAGTGTATACACCTACGCCATTGTGATAGATTCTGAGCCATGTCACATAGAGTCTCCAACCATTGGTTACGATAGTCACGCAGATCACAACCAATTTAGTTTTGTAATATTGTATATTTATGTTTATTCAGTAAATTATTGATTACTTGATGTTAAGTACTACCAATTTAATGTGTAGAAATCTGACTGTTAATCGATATGATTCGTATAAAATTTAGTGTATTCGGTTAATCATGTTGGCTTTTATTGAGTGTCAAATAAATCCTCATTTGACGTATTTGTGTTCTCATTCGCGTCGTCCGATTCCTGATTTTGTTGTTAAAACATCAAGATATAGTAACACTTGCAACAGTGATGAAATGCGTGTCTAGAAATCTCAATAAATTTTCATCTGTAACATTTATTACTTGGGATCATGAGAATTAGAATAGTCTCGTCTTCAAGTATCTAGGAGTCAGATGCGCAGTACACTAGTACGTAATTATAACTTAAGGCTATTTGTATCTAATAAATTGCCTTAAGACAAAGTGACTTTATTGTCAGTATTGAATTGTGGAGATGGCTGGATTTCATCGGAATCATGACCCGGCCAATGATAAACCAATAATGAAAACATGAAAGCACTCGACGGTCGTTTCGTGATGGCATGAAACTCATGAAAAGTGAGTATCCATGACCCTGCAGATAGGAATCGAATCCAGGACTTTAATTTAATTGTACACACATCCTTGTTCTTATTCTGCTTAAATTTGTCAAACGATCAAATTGAGTAAATTTTTGAATAATCTTTTCTTAAAACGCTAATCTTTACGTCAAAGAATACCAAGCGAATCGATACGAATGAAGTTTTATGAAACGTTTAGAAATTGGCTATTTCTCTCATCTCCTTTAAAAATTGTTCTGGTCAACCAAATTTCCACCTTCCCTGAGGAACGTGTGTTGGCTAACAACTTCACATACAAAGTCATGTAATCAGCATGCTTTAACGTTTTATATACCATTGTAATGTAAATCTGGATGTAATAAATAGAGTCTACAAAGCATTAGTGAAAGCAGTGAAGCTTGACCACCAAAAATTGAGGATGTTGAATCACCATTATCTTCGAAGAATTACACATTCAGAGGTAACAACATTTTATAAAAAGTGTTAGTAAGACAATGCTACAATAACCCATTTCATGTCACCATCTTGAAAAACCGGCTTCTGTGGCTTCAAATAGTGTTACAAATGTCAGCCAATGAGTTCTACATCGTAAATTGTTCGGCGATGCTGAGATTGGGTGGGAAAAGAGGAGAGATGGTCATTTTGTGATAAAGTGCCCAAGTGCGAAAAAAAGCCGTTTGAAACTGGCACCTATCGTGTAATCATGATTCCCATGATTGGAGTCCGAGAAATTCTTCAACTCATTGGCTTGAGATGCTGTCACATATTGCTCAGGCTAGTAGACAATTTCAGTCCTGATATATCTTTCATCAGTATTAAACCACATTGGTAACTTGGAAGCACTGGACGGCCGTCTCACTCCAGTACAGAACTCCATAGCAGTGCGCACCCATGATTTAACACCCAGGACTCCGACATAGGACCGTCGGTATTGCTCGTGTATTCAACCTCTAGACCACTGAGCTGGCATCCCATGGTATTATTGCCGAAATTCAACTAATCTATGATATTGCGAGATCACCTTCCATTATCTTCGGTGGGTAACTCTGCCTCACACCCAAAATGGCTGAACGTCACAAGTCACGGCCTATTACTGAAAACTTTGGGAAATTCCTCCTAAAGCTAGTCACTAGTGAGCAAATGGTAATTTTCAGTATGGGTTTGTAGATATTATCAAGATTTCATTGAAATCATGAATCGATTAATGTTAGACAACCACCGGAAACCTAAGAGCACTGCTATACCTACTGCAATTTATTCTTATTTACCTATTTTTATTTATTATATGACTTTTAATCGTACTTCACCTACTTTTTCTATCACTTCACAATCTCATTTCCTAATTTGTGTACCACACATTTATTTCAGTGTCCATTTTTCTTGATATTTGAACATTTAAATAACAAAGTAAGTTTTTTTTCAAGTAGCATAACAATGATTGTGAAATAAGGCTATATCGAGGCAATACGCACAGTATACACATATGCCAATAAGAGACTGACCAGTTGCAGACCTAAACATTAGTGGGAAGATTCAAACAAGTAATATCAAGTGAATTTAGTAGATATTGAGTTTGTAGTGTAAATATTTAGCACTTACATTAAGAATTGAGAATTGTAAGTACACTGTTTAATTCGATTTTGAATGAGTACTAATGATGAAGTAAAAAAAAATAGACCAAAAATTCTAGTTGATACACATCACGAGAGACTGAGGAGTTCTATAAAAGGACGAAACAGATATTCTTTGATACCTAATGATGATTATCTTAATAAGGTCGATTCATCGTATCAATAAATAACATATCACACTTAACAGAATTAAATTATTAACGTTTAAAATATTAAAATATTTTTAAAATTAAATTCACTCACCTAAATTTTCACGTAATATAACAGTAGTACTATTTGCAGAACTTGGTTCAGTACTTTGTGAACTAGTCGATGATCTTTTTGATGATAATGGCAGTGTTGCTGTTTCTGGAGACAACGATACAGGTGTAGACTGTGTGACAGATAAAGGAAGTTCTAATTTACAATAAACATATTGATTACCTTTATTATTATTATTATTATTATTATTATTATTATTATTATTATTATTGCTACTATTATCTACATTTGAATATTGATTGATCATTTCAACAGTATCAGAAAAGATTGAATTTATTGTTGATATAGTTGTTACAGTCGAAGTGACTGAAATATTTTCAGGTGAATTATTTATAGGATCATTTAATAAATTCATCGGTACATCATGTTGAAATGATGGTGATAAATTTGTTGGTGATTGTAAATCAATTGAATGAATTACAGAAGATGATGAAGATAATAGAAATAACTTTTGATCAGGAATAATTGGTGAATCATTATAACCACTATCACTTTGTTGAGTTTCAGATGAATTTAATGAACCAAGAAATTGTTGAGTAATATTATTCTCTTTATCAGTAGTATGATTATTATCTTTTGAATTATCCAACAATACATTACTATCAGGTTTTATTAAATTATTTTTATAAATAATAAATGAATCATTTGGGAATTCTGAAAAGTTTATGGAAACGAAATGGAAAGAATAATGAATATATATATCTTATCTTATTGTGGAAACGAATATATGTTGAAGATGTTTATAAAAGAAATGATGTAGGTTTGTTCTTTGAGCTGGATGCTTTGGTCGTGGAGCTTTCATCGTCCTTCTGAACGACATCATCAGCACAAACTTCGGGACGATGAAAGCTTCACGATCAAACCATCCAGATCACAGAACAAACCTGCATCAAAATCACCCACCTGAGCTATAAATCTTCACCATCTCATAAAAGAAATGGTTTGTAGCTAACTGCGGAATTCAGCACGTGTATATTGTCCCATTTAAGACTCATCAATAAGATGTACCTGCCTATATGTTAAGACTCGAGCGCTGTAACTTGTGCTTGAAATACCCAATAGGTTTTTATGTTGGTTTGTTCTCTGAGCTGGATGGTTTGGTCGTGGAGCTTTCATCGTCCTTCTGAACGACATCATCAGCACAAACTTCGGGTAGAAGTGAAGTGTTTGAATTTCTCCACATGTGATTCACAGCTTGTCCTCTGCACCTCGATGTTGATTGGTTCTTGTTGACCTTAAATCTGTCATTGTTTATTTCTTTGTTTTGATTGTCTCTCCTATTGTTTTGATTTTTGTTCCTATGTTCCTGCATAATTTTCTTGATTGGTTGATAGATTGGATTGATTTCAATATGTTTGTTTATTGCTGATTGACCTGAGTGCCAATCTTCTAAAAATTCTCTGGAATTTTTGGAATTGCATCTATCCAAAATCTGCACATTTTCCAGTCGAATGTATGTCCGTAGTTGTCCACGTGTATAGATATGAGTGAAGAAATGTCGTGGCGTTTGACTGCTAATTGGTGTTCATGTAGGCGAAGGTGCAGGGGGCGTCCGCTTTGTCCAATATAGTGTTTGTTGCAGTTGGTACAATTTATCTTGTAGATGATGTTTGTTTTGTCCTCTTTTGCTATTTCATCTTTTGGTTTGCATAAGATTGAGTTGAGGGACTTTGTTGGTTTGTGGGCTACACCTATTCCGAAGGTTTTCAGCAGCCTTGTTGTCGTTTCCGATATGCCCTTTATGTATGGTAGGGTGATCCTTTTGTTGATTTTTACACTTGACTTCATTTCTGATGGTGTGTGCGACTGGTATTTTTTGATGAAATTGATTGGATAGCCGTTCTTTTGAAGAATGGTTTTCATGTGTTTTTCTTCATAGGAGAGACAATCAAAACAAAGAAATAAACAATGACAGATTTAAGGTCAACAAGAACCAATCAACATCGAGGTGCAGAGGACAAGCTGTGAATCACATGTGGAGAAATTCAAACACTTCACTTCTACCCGAAGTTTGTGCTGATGATGTCGTTCAGAAGGACGATGAAAGCTCCACGACCAAACCATCCAGCTCAGAGAACAAACCAACATAAAAATCGCCCACCTAAGCTACAAATCTTCTCCACCATACCCAATAGGTTTTCCACTGCGCTACTTGGTTCACATAGCCACGAGCGTGTTCAACGGACATGCTGTTTTTAGTTTATGATTGGTGTAGATTTGAATTATCTCGTTGAAGATATTCGTGATTGAACTTAGACCATTATTTATTGGCATGTATGAATTATCTTACGGGAATTGCCTCAATATAGTTAGTTTGTCAAATGTGGAATCGTTGGTAGATGGATAAATAAATAAATAAATAAAGAATTGTATGAAGCATGAATTTGATGATACGGTAGAATGCAGTTGTGAACTTAGAAATATGAGTGTGCTATCAGAGAAGACATACAGCATAAGAACGACCTAAGTTATCATTCTGATTAGCTCTTTTTAGATACTAGGAAATCGTAATGATCTAGTCATTAACCTAGTCTGTTGGTTTGAACTCAAGTTATTTTTAGATACTACCATGATAATTAGCAACTTAAGGCTCAATAGAGAGGTTATGTTGTCGACTATACAGAGATGTAAAAGCATTAAGGTGTTTCATTGAAAGAGTCAGCATCTGCAGCGACTCTGCCTCTCCATAACAGAAGAAAAGCGTTAGAAAAAATGACCACCTCCCCTAAGGATTGTACGTATCACGATGCTCTATAGAGTTTCTGTCTCCAGCAGCAAAGCCTTATCGCATATTAAAATTATTACGAAACGTTCGCCAGGAGGAGTATATTTGACACTGAGGTCCAAACTTTAGTTCATCAGGACCACAACTAACTGAATTTTTTCCCGATTACCTCTGAAAGAATAATCCTTTTGAGCTATAGGTAAACAAAAAGTGACAACCGGTCAAACACAGATACAGATTGATACATTTGAAGTAGGAATATGAACCTGGAGTTTGATAGCTATTTTATTCTATTCAACTTTCATAGTAACCTGTCTATGAAATAGTCATAAGTTTATTATTTGTGATAATATGCTTTAGTGAAGATTAACAAGCAAATGTAAATCTCAATGAGAACAGATTGTTTACATAAATAATAAGATGAGATAAACTGTAACATACTACATTCTTCCTTGTTAAATGTTTTATCATAAATCTAAATTTTGTTTGATTAGATATTCATCAAAGATGGATAATGGCTAACAGTGGAATCCAGGACGCACGTTTCGTCTTATTCGGGACTCATCAGCTGGATGTACCTGTATCTCAGAGTTGATGTTCACCCTGGGACTCGAACCCAGTACCGTTTGCTTCATACGCCATCGCGTTATCCATTCAGCTACTGAGTCCTGATAGCCACTTGCTTGTGCAATGGGGTGAAGTTATATTCATTTATTGTTGTTTACTTGTATCTTCTCATTGTTATTTTGGACTGCAATTAATCAGTCGTTTGTTAGCATATGTGTATCCTATGCGGACTGCTTCAATATCGCTTGAAGATACAAGTAAACAAGAACAAGTGAATAGATCAGTTGATAAGCTCAATTTTCTTTGAGATCATGTATTATAATTCGGAAAGATTCAGTTATAACTATAGAAAAAGATGATTAACAATGAAATATGAATCAATTAATTTATTTACCAAGTTTAGTTAATATTGGTAACTTATCACTTTCATTAGGGATTATTTTCTTTCCTATGATTGGTAATTCATGTTTAGGATATTTTGTAACTGAATAATTTCTTCTTGGAATTACACTTGACGAAGTTAAACCCAATGGACGAGAAGAATGAATCAAATCAATTGGAATGTGTTGTGGAGATGGTGGTACAGATGAAATAGATCTATTTGGTATAGTAATAGAACCCGATAAACCAATAATATCAATCGCTGTGATTGGTGAATGATTTGAAGGTGTATTATGTAATAATGAAGAGAAAGAAGTGTTTTTCTGTTGCTGTTGTTGTAACCGATGTGTTCGCCTTTCATTCAACGATATTATGTTTGTCACTGGTGACGATGATGATGTTTTTGTATTCACATTAGATAATGAAGGCAATGAATTTTCAAGCGTGTTTGTTCTGATAATAAATTGGTTAACCCAACCAGCAACTGGTGGACCAGGTGGGGGAAATTTAAAACGATTACTGTTATCATTACTATTAATATTGTACTCAGGTGAAAATACTCTAGAACTTCTATTCGATGCATAATATCCAGTTGATGGTGTTGTTGATTGATTGTTGCCTAAACTTAAATCTTCACCAAATGATGATTGGTTGAACTTTTCATGAAGTATTGTTGTTATTGCAGTTGTAGTTGGTATTGTCTGATGACCTGTCATTCTATAATAATCATGATATGTATATTGTTGATTTAATGGATTTGATGGAACAAAACCATTGAATACAGCTGTTTGTAAACTATATAAAAAGTAATCATTATCAAATGATTCTATTGTGTTCAAATTCTAAAATAAGTGAAAAGAAAAGGCAATACTATTACTAATATTACTATCACTACTGCTATTACTAATAACATTAACAGTAATAAAAAATAATGGCAACAACTAGGATGAACAAAAGTGGAATTGTTATGGCTTACTATTACCGATCGAATCCACCAAATATAATCATCGTGGATTGTTCGAAGTTAGACATTAACACCATTGGATGCCGGCTAGCTTAGTGGTCTATCGGTTAAGTGATCTGGCGCGAGACTGGTAGGTTCTGGGTTCCAATCTCGCGAGTGCGGGATCGCGGATGTGCACTGCTAGGGAGTCCCATAATAGGACGAAACGGCCGTCCAGTTCTTCCAGGTTTTCCATTATGGTCTAGCTTCAATTGACTCATCATTTCAACTATGAAAATATAATTTTGACTCGAAAGTCTGCCTGGGTTCTACTATTCCATTTATAGACTGGGGTCTTAGTCATGATTAATTACACTTTTTGGCAGTACAGTTAATCTTGAACCTATACAAGCTGAGCTACACTTTTCGTTCTATTTGAGACTCTTCGGAGGGAAGTACCTCATTTAAGGTACTTCCGTACTAATAAATATGTAAACATCATACCCATTAAGCAAGCTAGTGAAAATGTGGACTCTATATCTCAGTCGAAAACGTTTCAACTGTTCAAAGAGAAAGATATAGGATTCAGGTCCAAATATGAATTTCAGCTGTGAGATGTAGATCCATCCAGTTGAAAAGCTCCGACTAGAAGAAAATCATGTCTTAAATCAAACAACCAGATTACCATTGTGTTCTATATTCGCTTACTTATAGTTGTCGTCTGAATTGTATATTATATGTTTTACTGTATCGGAATTATCAGCACTTATTAATTTACATATTACTATGCCTTTTCTGTTATTTATGGTCTGTTCGTGAAGAAATTGTAAATTCTGATAGGCACAGTTAAGTATAAGTAATATTTACAAACCTACGAGTTGTTGAATTCACTTAGTATTGTTTGTCTGAATCTGGTCAGTCTCTAATTGGCATATGTGCATACTGTGTGTATTGCCTCAAAATAGCCTAAATTCACAAGTAATGTAAGCAAAGATGGATAGTAGATAGGGCGAAACGCGCGCCCTGGATTCCACTGTTAACCACTAGCCATCTTTGCTACGAGTTTGTGGTTTAAACATTCTGGAGAACAATACAGGGGGAATTTGTTTTTTAACTTGACACTGGAATAGAAAATACTTGTGGAGAAATAGGCAAAAAGATCCTACAGTCACTTTTCTAAGTAATTCAGTTATCGCGAGTTTCTTTTTTGAAATGACTATATCAACAGTTAGTAACCAGAGAAAGAGTTTTTTTAATATCTCAGGGTAAAATTAAAGATTTCATGAATTACCTGGTCATCATACCTTACTTGTTTCATTAAAACGCTATAGATAAAGTGACTAATCAAACAAACGACAGTTAACGGTGATAAAGAGTTCTATTCTCTCTTTCTCACTTAATGGATACAAAACATCAAAAGGGGGGTCTTGTGAAGATTTTAGTAGTTTTATATATTTGAGATCATGAGTCAATTGAAGTTGAATCACCATGGAAAACCTGGAAGCACTGGAAGGCCGTCTCGTCCTATTGTAGGACTCCTCAGTGGCAGTGCGCATCCACTGCTGGATGGATCGACATTTTAAAATTATCCACTGTATTCTATCGAATCTACCACATAGTTTACGGGTTTATCTTTCACACAATACCAAATCCATGGTAATCCACATTCAAAAGCCTTATCTTTGTATGTAAAGAAGTTGATCCACATAATCTGTCTTCTATGGCCATCGTCATGGATTACACAAAAGTAAGTAATTATTACTATCTCTCTCTTGGACATTCTAAAACTTTCAATTACTTTCATGTTCTTGAATGATTTTAATATTTGCGTCTTTATTCTTATCTAATTCCATTATTATTAATCGTAGAAATAAACGTTCAAAGTGTTATCATCAATAATGAATTTCTTACCGAATACTTTAACCTCATTATTAATTTTATAATTACATATATAAATCCTTTATTACGTAATTGTTAGCTAAATTGAACATCTAACCGTCATAGTTTAAATCACGAATTCTTCTTAGCTAAATGTGGAAGCGCTGGACAGAAATTGATTGAAATAGGATATTAACGTCAGTGGATTCCCGTCTTGAGGTCTAGAGATTACGAGTTTAAGTGGGAGATCAAAGGTTTTAGGTTTGGTTTCCGGATGAGGGTTCGTGGATGTAGGTTGTTGAAGAGTCCTACACTAAAGCAAAACCGCCGTCCAAGGCCCCCTAATTTTCACTGATTGTTTGGCTAAGTCCATGATTTAACCTCTTTAAATTCTGTAGCCTCCTTAAATCTTCCTATACTAATAAAAACCTAACTATTAGATACGGGTGAATATGTTGAAGGATTTGAAGTTCGAGAGTTATTATATATACTTATTACTTCGCTGATGGTATTTTTGTACTGTCCTAATTGTAGGCTTTCATTTGACTAATTGACTGTTAACTTATGTTTCATCGTTCATAAATTACCTTTAATTAATTGTGTACTTGTTACTCAGTTTCTTTCCATAAATGACCTAGTTATGTACAGATTGTGCGCTGTGATCGCGTATTCGGTTCACGATGTCAAGTTTATTTTTGGGTCAAAAATACAATAAAAAATTAATTGGTTTTCATTGTTTTCTGACTCAGTTGCCTGAAGACAGAAAATAGCTGCATGAGTCAGTCAGAGTCGGTATACTTAGTGAGCACAATATATCAAGTGAAATTTATCAGTGTTATTAGCAAAGGCGGAAGTCATACCACAGACAACAGTACAAACTAGTATCATAAAACATATAAAGAACTCGTATTCTTTGGAATTGATCGCAAACGCCCAGAGTTTCTGACTTTTTTCCTTAACTATCACCAAGCTAAAATGTTCACACCCAAATATACTAAAATGTGCAGGATAAGTAGGACGGTTGATTGTCTGTAATATTTTTCCTTAAGAAAAAAGTTCATCATACTGTAAAATCCAATATTATTTAAAAAATAGGTTAGTAATAAAAGACCAAATAATTCATCAGTGAGAAAGTAGCTTATTATTACATAATGAATAAATCGGTTATATAGAATTAACAAGTTAGTTCGCTCAGTACCGAGAACTGAATGAATTAGAACAAAGAAACTATTGATTGCTGGGTCATTAATCTGAAATTTATAGGCTAGATACGAGAACTCATAGTCCCAGGTTCAAACCCTTGTGGTCCAGTCGTTGATAAGTATTACCGATGGACTGAAAAATTAACTGAAAATTCTTGTTGATGCAAACAAAGAGAGAATGTAAAAGTTCAAATGCACTCATTTGTTATGCTGTCGTGAAAACAAGTACTCACTGCTATTATTATCATTCATATTGCCAGCCGAGTGATGTGAAATGATCTACCCGCTTTTCAATTTTAAATAAGTGTGCCATATTTAACAACTTTTGGCCATGTTTCTTAAAACTCAAAGGATGAATGCTGCATATTCGAGCGTAATTTTAACTGATTACCAAATTTCAAACCCTTACTGTTACTTGACTTGTCTTTATCATCCGAGATATAGGGATGTGCTACGTTAACATATTTATAGCAGATGTGGTTAGCTTTAGATGCTTGAAATGAACCAACAACCAACGGGAATGTTGGTTACTGTGTTCTTATGGATAACGGAAAAATGGATAGATAACCTCAAAAACTGAATATAGTAGGTTCTACAATGATTTTCATGTTGTTAAAAAGAATGTGATCATTTGAAACAACATACTTATTATCTAACGATATTCTATGTTGTACAATTTTAAATGAAACCGTAAATGTGCACACACATACTCAGAAGCATACAAGGACAAATGTACGTACCTTCAGTTAGTGTATCATTCAAAATGAATAGCTTCCATCTTTACATAACTTTAGAGCATTTTAAACGTTAGTTGTATCATTTCGTGGAACATGGTATTTGTTTATTCTGAAGAATGTGTCAACTTATAAACTGTAAATCACAAGGTCCACAAATTTTGTGGTACGATCAAGTAAATGAAATAGAAGTATGCAATGATTCTATTGGAGTCATGATCAATTAGACTATTGTAAATAACGGTAAGATTTAGAGAGAAAAAAACTTAAATCACATACGCCCTTGTATATGATATCATGTGGTATTAATAATGGTAAGCAAAATGTGGTTATTTACAGTAGACAGTCAAAATCAACCAAAATAAAACTTCTGTATGCGTCGGTTTTCAGTGAATTCGGAATTCGCATGGTTGAAACCATGAGTCAATTGAAGCTAGACCAACATGAAAAACCTGGAATCACTGGATGACCGTTTCGTCCTATTGTGGGACTCCTCAGCAGTGCACTGAGCTGGCCGGCATCCGATGGCGTTAATGTCTAACTTTAACCAATCCACAAAGTTGAGCAACCGTTCACCAATTGTCTTCAGTGAGTTGTTATCTCACGACAGACGTGGTTTGAACTTCACTGGTCACCGCTTCTCACTGAAGCTCCAGGAATTATCTCTTGAAGTCAGTCACTAGTGAGCATATGATTATAATCAGAAGTGTTTTTGTAGAGGTTTCAGTATTTGCATAGTTGAATGCATGAGTCAATTGAAGCTAGACCACTATGCAAATAATAAATCTCCACAAAAACCCCTTCTGATTATGAATTCAGAATTACCAAACAGAAAAACGTTATATTTTTCTACTCATAATGATGTACATTCGTTTGTTTATCAATATAATGTAGTGAATAAAGATAATAACTGAGTTGCTTAAAAATGCTGTAGTTTGTAATAATATTTTTACAATAGATTGATCACCATCTAGTGAGCAGTGTTGTGTTTACCTTTTTTAGTGTTGGTCGAGTTCGATCAATCAAGTTGCATTCTGATCACTAAATTAATTGACTTGAATTTACGTATACTATGTTAAAATGTT